ATTCGTTATTACAGCTGGGTGTGGAGGGGAGTCATCTCACCAACAATGCACACCTAACTCGAAAAACATGCTGATTATATGATGCATAGTAAACAGATTCTCATACATAGTCATATCAATTCCCGTAATTCATTTTCTTAATCCCACCCTTTCCCAGTCATGCGCATTTTGTCTTCCAGTTGAGACGAAGGGTGGCTTTTAGACCACCACGGACCACCGACTCAACAGAAAGACCCCTCGATGTCCTTGTCTTTTGGCTCATGTTACAATTTTAACACGCTTCAAGGCCCCTTCACAATGCATCCTTGAGAACATCCTGGGCAACTGGGCAATAAATCGTCCTTACAGAACAGCTGAACAATAGTACCTGGTCAGGGACCTCATTCTTCGGATAGAACTCTGGTTAATGGTTATTATGGGCCTGCGTGGCCTTGGCCTGGGGCTTTACAAAGGACTTTAAACAGCTTTTAATAATAGAAATTTCTGGTTTTACATTTGGTCGTTTTTATCTGAAATACCCCACTCGATATCAACTGCTTCTGCCAGGACTGCCCTTAGTTTTTCCATGCAGGTTTGCAGGAGAAACTCGAGCTGCTGTGAATCCTGTTGTGGAAGCCTTGCTGCCTCGGCAGAGGTTTCCAAGAGGAAAGCCGCATGGCCCATGGCACAGCGCACCAGGTGAACAGGCTGCGGCAGTGTCCCAAGGCCTTCCGAGGCGGCGGGAGCCATGGAGACAAGACAGTGCTCAGGCTGAGCCGGGTAGGGGACTTGCTAAACATCAGCACTGCCCCAGAGCTTGGAGGGTGGCATACACAGGGTCTAGTTTTGAAGTGCTGGGTGCTGCTAGCATTGGCATGGTTCTTATCGAGGGGAAATCACTGGCAGTTTAATGTGTCAGCCTTCCTCCACATAAGCGTTTTCCTAACTGTAAAACAAACCAATCAGTATGACTGATGACTCAGTAATTCACTGAGGGCAACACAGTATTACACAGCCACACATCCAGTAGTAATTATTTTTTTTAATATATCTGTGACACTGTTGGGGTAAGGAACAGCATCTGAGGAAGGAGACCTGAATCATGACTGTGTGAAAATAATTGAACATACTTATGCCAGCAGGACAACACCACCACCACCGACTCCAAAATGGAAGAACCTTATTTACAAGGCGTCCCTCTGCGGCCCCCAGAATCCAAAGAGGAGGGGAACCCCCCCAAACTGAAGTGCGAGCTCTGCGGCCGCGTCAACTTCGCCTACAAATTCAAGCGCTCCAAGCGCTTCTGCTCCATGGCTTGTGCCAAGAGATACAACGTGGACTGCACGAAGCGGGTGGGTTTGTTCCACCCCAATCGCAGCAAGCTGCAAAAACCCGGCAGCCCGCCCCACGGCCGCCGTCGGACCTGCAAGGGGACGTTGCCCGCCCTCAGCAAAGACTCCAAGAAGCAGCTCAACCACAGCCAAGAAGACTCGAGTCGTTGTTCGGATAATTCGAGCTACGAGGAGCCGCCACCGCCTTTGT